GGGGGGGGGGGGTGTGGGGGGCGTATGAGGGTCGGGGTCAGTGGACGATTGACCCCTTCCCATTGGATGGGAAGGGGTGGATGAATGCGAGGTTAGGGAGGCAGGCAAGCAGGGGGGCGTGTGTGGACGCCTGCGCCGGCCTATGCGCGCTCCGCCTGCACAGGCCTCTTTTTGTGCGCAGGGGCTGTGCTTCTACCTGACTTGTGGACGGGCTGAAGTAGAACCCCCACCTGGCTGCACTGATCCTGCATGTACGCACACACACACACATGCGCATCGCTTTCAGCCTTGGAACATGCCTTGTCACTGCTCCTCGCCGCTCGCACCGCCTTGGCCCCTCCATCGCGCCACCCCCCCCCCTCAGGCGCTACTACCAGCCGCCGGACGTCCCCGACAACATGCCCGGCCTGACAGGCAAGCAGGGCGCCCCCCTGTGGCACGTGCTGATCCCCTTCCTCTCCATCATTGGGGGGTCCCTGGGTCTCGGCTTCTCCGTTGCCACCAACTGCCACTACGGCGTCTACATAGCCATGGCCGGTGAGCATGGCGCCGCTGAGTGGGGTCCAGCGCCCAGCAGCAAATGCAGACGCCAACATCATGGCTTTGTGATTCCTGCCCTGGGCCCACCTGAAAAGCCTCTTGTGCCGCAGTGCTTCTGCTTACGGCTAAGTGCAGTACCGCGCATGGACACGAGCGTCCGCTGCAGCTTGGCAGCAATGGCCACCCCACAATTGTCTAGCTGTGCTCATGCACACGCCAGGAACTCCCCGTTCTCGTCCCCTCTGCGGCATCCAACACAAACCATCGCCCACGCACGCGCTCCACCCCCAGCCTGGTGGTTCCTGGCCACCTTGTACATGTGGCTGGTGCTGCCGGTCGTGTTTGTGCCCACCAAGCTCAGGACGCCCCTCTTCCCCTTGTGGCCCTCCACCGGGGTCATGACGACCATCTTCCTCATCTGTGGGTTGAGGGGCTGCCGCCCTCTTCATGCCTGTGGGGTCAAAGGGTGGGATGATGGATGCCGATTACGCAAGAGGTGGGATCGGCGCAAAGGGGCTGCGCTTGGGCAACGTGCAGCTGTTGCAGGAACGCGTGGCTCGGCGCCCTAGCCGGCCTGGTTGACGCAGCCCCCAATTCCAGGAGGTGGCCTTGAAGATGTCCTTCAACCCTTGTCCCCGGCGCTGCCTTGCTCGTGCAACGCCGCAGCGTCCCTGGGCCCCACCAACTGGGCGCGCTGGGGCTATGGCTGCCTGGTGGGCGTGGCGCTGTACTCACTCTACGGCATCGTGGAGCTCATCTACAACAGGTGGGGAGGGGGAGCGATGACGTCACTCGCTGCTGCTTGATGCCACTCGCTGCTCTGGGCAGGGCGCACGGGCGCCCACTTTCTGTGTGGGCGATCAGCAAGGCTTGGTCTGGCATCCACCTGCAGGCGCGCTGTTGAACGCCCGGGCTCCTCTGCTGCAGCAGCTGCTGACTGCCCTGCATCATCAAGCTCCTTGAACCCACTGACCGACCCCATTGCGCGCACATATACATGTACCCACGCGCATCCACACCAGGATCCACGGCCCGCCCCCGCCGATCAAGCGCCAGCAGTACGATGACGATAGCGTCCCTGGTCACCAGGGTGACGCCAAGGACCTGGAGGCCGACCCTGTCGTCAGGACGGCCCAAGAGTGACGCTGCCGGGTGACAGAAGCAGATGCCGCGACGCGAAGCTGTCTGCCTCATGATGGCGGCTACCATGTGTGCCAGCAGGGGGGCCACAAGGCGCCCTTAGCTGAAGCTGAGCGGCTCTCGTGTGGGGTAGGATGCCCCGTGCGCCATCCGGGTCGGGGAGGCGGGGCGTGCGGGGAAAGGGTAGGGCGCTGCTGCAAGGGGCAGCGCATTGCCTTGCGAGGGCCCAAGGGGCAGCCCGCACTCGGTCTCTTGTCGCCGGCATGGGCCCGTGTTGGATATGTTTTTGGGCGCCAACGCCTGGTGCCTTCACCGTCTGTCCGCCAAATGGGGAAGGAGGAAGCAAGAGGAAGGGGGTTAGCCCATCCCCTCTCTTTGCCATTACGCCCAGTATTGTTCTACTCTCCAGGTATGCAAACTCGCACACATACCCAAACAACTTGCACGGTGCCATCGTACTCTCGCTCTCAACCCGAAAACGCGCGTAACCCCTTGCCTTTGAACTTGCGGATGGCTGCATGGCAGGAGCCATGGTGGGCCCTCACGGCGCAGACCTCATGCAGGGGGCCTCTGGGCGCGGCGCCGCCTGGCCAACAGCAAGGGATTGACTTGCTTGCACTCTGCATCTTGTTGCACATTCTGCCTGTTAGTTCCTGGCGCTCGGGCCAGTGCCCGGCGTTTGATTCTGCTTGTTTGTCCGGCCCTCGAGGTCGTTAACAAGAACAGGGTTTGGACCGCCTGTCCTTGCTCTTAAAACCCCCGCGAACCCCTGCCTTTGCCCACATCGGTTACTCTTGTTGTCGCACGCTTGCAACGGGCGCCGTTGTCCTCACACTCGCCCTATGCCGGTGAAGACGTGGGGTGCGGGGGCGAGCGGTCATCAGAGCTGCTATGACCCCTCGGCCCGGGCATGTGGAAGCGTCCTCAAACCCGTGCTAAACAGCACACTTTCACACTGGGGCCAGGCGGCAAGGCATGGGCGCATGTGCTTCTGTGCACGCACTTGTCGCCAACGCGTCCTTTTCCTGACATTGGCTTGCGTGCATCCAAATGCTTGCACCCCTGCAAGCGCTGTCCCCGCGTGCGTGCGTGCTGCGCGATCACTATCCCTGCACGAATCTTCTTTTTGCGCACAGCCTGTCAATCTGCTTGATTCCAACCAAGTCAAACAACTTGTGGTCGTGCAACGGATCACGGCATTGAGTAAACCTGACTGTTCACCACCCAGCACTTTGCTGCTAGCAGCAAACATCCTCAGCTTCAGCGGCTGGGACGGTCCCCTCGGGAGGTCTCTTGCAGTAAACTAGCATGGCAAGGCGAGTCATGGCAGGATGAGGACTGGTGTGCCAGGCGGCGTCACTGCTTGCGTGCCTCAAAGGTGTCGTGCAAGACACCCTCCGCCTGGCCCGGCCGCAGCTCCCTGCATGGGGGGTGGGGGCGGGGGCAGGGTTGGCGGCGAACATTGCAGGGTGACAGCAGTTGGGGATCGCATGGTGGAACGCGGCTTGCCGCTGGCAACACTGCGACAGCTCCACTGCCAAACGCGATTGTGTGGACTGGCAGCCCCAGGAGGGTGGGTGTTGCAGGCAGTCGCCCAGCGCAAGAACAACAGCGGCTCACGTCGTGCGTGCTTGATGCTGCCCCTCCCATGCCGCGCATCCGCTGGCAGTGGCACGGCTGGCAAAAGCCTGAGCGTAGAGAGGGCCCATTCGCCCGTCAAAGCAGCTGTTCATTGGGTTCAACCACCTGACCACTCACATGTACCGGCCAGGGGCCAAATCAGGTGGCAGGTCCAGGCCGCCGATGCGCGTGCGGTGCAGCGATAGCAGCTCCAGGCCCGCCGACGCCACCAGCACGCGCACCTTTCATCAGGGGAGGGGACAAGGCAGGATCAAAACATAAGAGGAGAGGTCCAGGGCTGCAGCGGCGCTGTGTCATGGGAGCGCGTCGCACTGTATTGGACCGTGGCACACGGTTGAGCGCTGCTGAATGCGGGCGGCCTTCGAGCCCCTGCCGGTGAACTGCTTGTGCACCTTGTCTCCATTTACGGCCAAAACAGCAGGCTGTTGGGACGCAATGCCAGACCAGGTGCCGCGATGCAAACAGCGCCGCAACGCATCAGCGCCGCCGCGCACGCGGCCGTGGCGTGCGCACCTCGTGCTTCTTGCCCTCTGACACCACGATGCGCAGCACACTGCCACCACCACCGCCGACAGCGCCATCGCGGCCGGCCCACCCTCCGCCAGGCCGCTCGCCCGCCGCCCCTCCTCGCTCGGCCCCTCCGTCCCCGCCTGCATCCCCGACCCGCGGCTGGCGGCGCCTGCCTGCCGCCGCTGCCGCTGCCACTGCTGCCGCGGGTTCGTCCGCGGCCACCGATTCGACGAGCTGTGGTACGCACAGCACTCCCTCCACAAAGGCGCCGTCACGCAGCTGCTCCAGCTGGAACTGCGATGGGGGCGCCGCCACGGTTGCCAGGTACTCCTGGGGGGGTGGGTGAGAACAGAAGGGTGGGAGGATACATTCATGGTTGCAAAGGGCACGGCCACAGGGAGGGGTGGCTTGTACTTGCAGCAGCCAGGAGGGCTTTGTGTTGTGGGACCGCTTGGAGAGAGGGGTGGAGGTTCATGGAACTGTGTCACCAGCCGCCAACACGGGGAGGGGCAGCGGGGGACCAGGGCGGCTGGCTTCAAGGGTGAGGCTGACGCAGTGCCCTCCCAGGCTGCCGCAGTCATGCCGCACCCAGATGGCCTACCTTGCTCCCCAGCCCCTTGATACCCCCAGGTGCCGCTAGTGCATTGCCGCCAACAACAACGAAGAGTAGGCAGCCGCGACACACGGGCATCAGGCGAGTAGCAGCAAAGCAGCGGCGCCCAAGCGCCTGTCGGCGCAGGGAAGTGAGCAGTACCAGTCCTGGCACGTCCCGACCCCCAAGAAAGGCGTGCACGCGCGCCTTGGTGAGGCCCGCAGAGGGATGTATGACGCGGTTGGCCCACACGCCGTCGTTCGTGACCAGCACCAGCCCACTCGTGGCCACGTCCAGGCGGCCCGAGGTGAACAGCCGCGGCGGGAGCAGGGCCTGCACGGTCGAGTTGCGTGGCACGGGGACGAAACTTCAGGCAGGCTGCAGGTGCGCTCGGGCCGCCGTCGAGCAACCGACGCTCACCATCAATACGGTGATCAACAAATCCCAGAAGCAGTCAACCCGCGTCACCCCTCGCCCTTGAGTAAGTGTGCCAATGTCACAGACCCCCCAACGGCATGTTTATGCGCACATGCACACAAGGCGTTCCCAATGTGTCTCGTAGCCTGTCGGCTGTGGCTGCACAGCGCCTGGGCCACCCAGCCACCGGCCCCTCACCGGGTCCCTCTGCCGCCCCCGCCAGCGCTCCAGCCACGGCCCCAGCAGGTCCACCACGCGCTGCCCTGGACGGCTGCTCACGTTGCTGCGGGGCAGCAGGTCCGCCGGGGGCAACAGCGGCGAGGGCGTGTGCTCAGAGACCCTCCTAACTGCCACACCAGACAGGCTCTGAAGCCAATGGGTAGGATCCCTTCAGAGCCCTAGAGGGGCTCGTGAGGCGGTGGAGGCGCCGCCAGGTGGCGGGGTCCAGGCACGCGACGTATGCGAGCGCACCCAGCTGGAGCGATGGGGCGGCGGGGCGGCGCGCAAGCTGCGCAGCCTGCGCTGCCGCAGGCGTGGGCCTCATGCCCGCCCTCACCTGCAGATAAACCCCACCGGCTTGTGCACCAGAAAATAGCACAGCTCGTGAACGCCGCCGCCTCCGCCGCTGCCGCCGCTGCCGCCAGCTGCCGCGCGTCCCGGCGCCGCCGCCAGCGCCGCGATGCGAACTTCGCGGCCGTCCACTGTGACGCGATCCCTGGCCGGCAAGACCTTGAAGCCCTGCACTGACACAACCTTTTGGGGGGGGGGCGCAACATCCAGGACGTAGCAAGCGCAGCGTGAGCCAAAGATGGGCGTTGTTCAAGGAGCTGGGCCAGCATAGGGGTGGTGGTAGTTATATGCGGGCTGCTGCGCGGCGCGTCCGCGGTTGGGCCGTGCAGGCTGGCTGCTGCATTGGGTTGGACAGCTGCATCCCATCGCTGCGGGGCCGGTTGAGGTTCTTAAACCCCAGCCCGTTTGCTCGTGTGGCTCGCGCTTGACAGGGCTTTTCGTGTGCACGCTGTGCGGTCACCCATCATCATTGGATCCCCGTGGCACACTCGCGACCCACCTGCCCGTTGACTGCGACGCGGCCCTCCTCAATCAGCTCCTCACACCTGCGGCGGGACGCCACACCAGCTGACGCCATGACCTGGCGGGCGAGCGGGATTTTGGGGGGCGGTGGTGTCGCGCGAAGAACGGCAGTGAGCAAGCGGTGTGTGTTGCCACAGGGGAACAGCGGGCACGCCCAGGGCTGGGCAGCGTCTTGTGTCATAACAGGCCTGGCACCTGCTGCGCCTCTGCTCACCTTGGCCAGCCGCTGCTCCTTCCTGAAGTTGGGCGTTGAATCTCCAGGGTCTTGCGGCTGCCGAACGCGCTCCCGCTTGCCGACCAGGGGCTCAAAATCTGGCGCCGCCGCCCAGCACGCCAGGCGTTTGCGCCGCCGCTGCTGCTTGTTCAGCTGCACGGCCGCCGCCACTGCTGCGCAATGGCTGGTTCTGCATGGTGCGCCACATGGCCGATACTGTCCTCGTAAACGGTGATGTAGTGACGCGTGCATTATTTATCAGCTGACGTGCAAGGCCTAGAGCGAGATCGCGAAGTCAGTGGCGTTCAAATGAGCTATGTATCTGTCATAAGGCACGCTTGTTCGACACTTTGCTACATATGATACCGGTGCACGCACGGCGCGCCATGTGATGAGTTGGTACGGTACTGTGAGCCTGTACAGTGATACAGTTGCCTCGCATGCCCCAGGGTCTGCGTGGCCCCTCCACGCTGCGTGCATTTTTCTTGGAAACCGTCAAGTGCAAGGGGCGCGCTGCGCTGCGGCTAATACTGATGGCGCACCTGTGGGGTTTACGCTCGCTGTTTGCCGCAGCCATTGACCGTATGCGACACCAAAGCGACACTGCCACATGAGTCAACCCGACACCGCCCGCGCGCTGCCGTGGTTCCTGGGCCGCCTCGCACGCGCAGATCGGCCAAGGTCGCCCCAAAATTATGTGTTCGGCAAGATGGACTCTAAAGGGATCCATGCGCAGCGGGGCGCGCCCCCTAGCCAAGCCTTTGACCACATGCGACACCAACGCGACACTGCCGCATGAGTCAATGTGGCACCGCCCGCGCGCCATCTTCGCTCCCCGGGCTGTTGTGATGTTACAACCAATAGCCATGATGTTGGCAACGGCTTGTTTGACCATGCTGGATGGTACCGATGGTCAACATAGGGTATGGCCCATAGATACAGTAGGGCACTTGGCCCACCAACACGCAGGTGACTGGGTTTGCACTCAAAAAAGCACACCTTCTCCATATGTGCATGTTGGCGGCAGAATCAAATGACACATGAATCATCATCTGTGTTCAGCTACAGCTATCCGCAAGTGCCCCAACCGCACACGAGCCCCTCCCCGGCCTCCTGCGAGGTCCTACCGGGCGCCGCCGCCGCCCGCTTGCGCCGCCGCCGCCCGCCGACCGTCGTCAATGGCCAGCAGGGTGACCCGGTTCACCAACAGGTCGAGCCGCGACAGCACCACGTCGCTGATGGCCGCCCTCCAGTCCTCGGGCAGCATCAGTGGCAGCCGCGGGGCGTCGTCAGGGAACGCGCCCAGCGCACTGCCGCTGCCGCTGCTTGCGCCGCTGCCAACGCTCAGCAAGCTGCCGAAGCTGCCTGCCGCTGACGACGCCTCCGATCGCGGAGACGCCGGCACCGCAGGCGCCCAGCCCTCCCCGCCCTCAACAGCCGTCGCGGCTGCGGCGGCGTCGCGCTCGGCCGCCTCTGCGGCAAGCAGGCCGGCGACGAGCGCCCTGGGGTCGCGGGCCGCGAGCTTCAGCGCCTCCGCGCTGGCGCAAGACGACAGCCCCCGCGCCAGGTCCTTGGGCTTCAGGGGCCGCCCTATGACGTAGATCGGCATCAGCCCCGGGTCCACCGGTACCACCACGTCGCGCCACGCCTTGCGCAGCTTCACGTCCGCCTGGCGCCGCTGCTTGCGCAGCCGGCGCGCGTCCTTGACGCCGCTGTACAGGCCTGGCTCGGGCGCAGCCGTGCCGGCGCCTTCGGCCTTTGCCTCGCCTTCCCCGTTCCCCTCGCCGCTTCCCTCGGCCTCGTCGCTCGTGTCTTCGCCGCCATCGCCGCCGTCACCGCCGTCGCCGCCGCCGCCGCCGCCGCCGCCGCCGCCGCCGCCGTTGCTGCTGCTGTCGTCCTGTATGCGCAGCGTGACTGTCTTGCATGCGGCCAGCTGGTCCACCAGGGCGATGCAGCGCTCCACATCAGTCAGCAGCGTCATCAGGGGGTTGGCGTTGGCTAGCTTGGCCTTCGGGCGCGGTGAAGGCGGTTGGCCCGAATGGCAGAGGGTGTGAGATCAATCTCCAGCAGCCCTCAGGCCGGCACCCTTGAGGCGAAAGCTACACACGTGAAATCTCTGCCGGTAGGGGCTCGCGCACAATGACCCCTTGTGTGCTGATTGACCACAACGGCAGACAAGGAGCACTCAGCTGACCCAGTCTGGTCTACGCACTGGAAAATCCACCCACACAACCAAATTGCACGTTCGGCTTTGACCCCCAAAGATGCTTGATCCCAACAGACTTCCCCTCTGCCGCTCCTGCTGGGACCCCGCGCACGCACCTCGAACAGCGCCACTGCAGTGCCGCTGTCGTCCAGTGCCACCACGTCCACCTCCCACTTGCACCGGGCCGCATGCCCGGGGTGCCGCCCGTCCAGCGCCACGACGTGGCCCTTTGAAAGCAGGCTCCATCCGGCCGGCAGCTGCGCCTCCACCAGCGCGAGGGTGCGTGCCTCCATCGCCTCACCATTGGCCGCACTGCCGCCACTGCCACGCACGTCGGCTGCCGCCTCCAGCCCGGCCCCCTCCAGCGCTCCTACCACCAGCCGCAGCAGCGGCAGCACGACCGCGCCAAACTCGGGCCGTGCGGCACACTCGTCAAACCAGGCGCGCAGGCCGCGCGCCACGGTGGCCTCGCGGTCGCGCAGGCGAGCGACGGCGACGTCACGCGCCTTTTGAGGCACCAAGGGGTCATCCAGCACCTTTCGCAGGCTCTCCCGCAGGTGGGCGGTCATTGCGGCCGCCGCCGCCGCCTCGCGCCGCAGCCAGTCCGCCTCCTCTGCGTCGGCGGGCGCGTCCTCCTCGACTGCCGGCAGGCCGTCCAGAATCCGCCCCTCAGCACCGAGCCACTGCTCTTCTGGCTGCTGCTGCTGCTGCTGCTGCTGCTGCTGGGCGCTGCCAATGTTGCCCTCCCTGAACTGCCGCTCTGCGCGCTGCCACAGCAGGCGCAGCAGCTCGTACTTGCCTGTGTACGAGAGTACGTTGGCGGGTTGCAGTTGCCAGGAAGTAGAAGATGATATTAGATGTGAGTCACTCCACAGGGCACGTCTTTGTACAACAACCAACGGAGCTGTGAATCGACCACAAGTTCGTGGCCACCGGCAATGGTGACCCACCATGATGCATACCCTTGTGCACTCACCCTCGGTGCCTGGATGCCGCACACCCGGCACGGTGGGCGTGAACACGGGCGGCCCCAGCAGCGTGAAGAGCAGGCCCACCAGCTGGCTCGCCATTGGATGCAGCACCCGCGGCGGGGCGTACCGCTCCTGCCGCACACCCAGGCGCTGGTGGATGAGCTCAGGCTCTGCCGCGGCGATTGACGCGGCCGCGTCGGTGGTAACGCTGGGCTCCTCGGGCGGCAGCGTCGAGGGCCTTGGCGGTGCAAGGATGCGGGCTTTGCGCTGCGGCTCGGCAGGCGCGGTTGGTGCCAGCGAGTCAGGCTGCCGCGGCGAGAAGCGCTCCTGAAGGGTCCCGAGCCACGAGGCCACGGCAGAAGGGGGACCAACGCGCCCGGGGCAGGGGCGCATGTGGACGTCCATGCGCCCCACGCCCAGCGGCGATGCCAAAGGCGAGCGTGAGCCCAGCGCCCGCCTGATGTCGGGCTGAGGTGATGCTGTTGAATGCCTGCAAAGCTTCATACGACAAGGCAAGTGGGGAAGAACGGATTGCCGTGATCAAAAGCTCAGAATCACCCGATCCGATGCTACTCTTGTATGGTAATCAGCTGGAATAAGGAGTATCAGTTGTGTCACATGGTTGAGTGAGAAGATTTGGCACCACTACACACTCTGACGCACTGACACTACCAGGTACGGAAGTTCAAACCAAACGTGCGCCACACACTGCGTATGAGACCAGAACTCATAACGCGGTTGGTACACGATCACAAGGCAGCCGTGAAACCCCTCGCGGCCTCTTCTTCGACGCTGCACACCAACATGGAGCCCTGAGACCGCACCTCCGCTGCTTCTGATCGCGTGCAGACCCCACATAACGGTGTAGATCTGCTTGTAGGATCCCTTGCCGTCGGTCACAGGGCTGCAGGCCGGCTTCCAGGCGCATTGTTGTCACACTCCTCAGGCTTGAGCTGCAGTAGTTCAGTAGTGCCGCACGCTAGCGAACGCCGCCTGCACGCAGGATGGGCTGCTGCCAGAGTTTGCCATCGGTCACAGTGGTGAGCGCTAGTAGCAGTCCCGCTGGTCGCTGCGTTGTCACGCTCGATGTCCCCTCTAGTGATCGGCTGCCTCGCCTGATCACATGCTGCATGTGCTGGGCTCACGCCTGGGACGCGGCCTGCTCTGCACCCCTATCCCAGGATGTGCCGCGGGATGTGAGCACCACCGACCGCCAGATCTTCCGCCAGCAATCCTTTATCGACGGCTGCAAGGTCTGAAGGGTGGAGTGGGGGGGGGGGGGGCGGCAGCGAGGGTGACACACGCGCTGTGAAGCTCCACCTGAAGGAGCAGCATTCGTATGTTGAAACGCCTCCACGTCCCCCACACTCCTCCGTTGCCAACCAGAAACCCCCCTTGCATCAACCTTGCTGTCGTCCGCCGCACCTGAACCGCTCGTCTCCCGCCTGCACCGCGCTGCGCAGTTGCTGCCATTCACGGCCGCGTGCCCGGCGTCCTATCCCTATGAGTGGCAGACCCTGATCGCCTCCGGCCCAGGGTATCTCTTCGTCGCGGCCTTCGAGGGCGTCAACGGGGCGGCGGCGGCGCGCCACTGCCGCGACAACGCGCACCGCAAGCTGCAGGCGGCGCTGCGGGGCGGGCTGGACCCGGAGGCGGCGCTGTGGGCGATGTGGGGGGAGCTGGACAGCAGCTTCCTGGCGGGACGGGAGCCGGACGTGGTGGGCACAGGGGCACGACGCTGCGCGCCGGCCGGCCGTGCTGCTGATGGGGCCTGGGGGCGGCTGATTGGCAGGTTGCCATGGTGACTTGCGACTCAGCAGAGCTTTCTACCCCCCAGGGTCTGGTGAGCGTGGATGGCAAGCCGCTGTCGCAACGACCCTGCCCCCGCTGTGATCCGCCAGGTCAAGGCCTCCGTGGGCGCCACCGGTGTCGCGGTGTACCTGGACACGCGCAGCGGCCTCTGCTACTCGTCGCGCCTGGGCAGCCCCGGGTCCTTTTTGGCGCGCTCCAGGGGGGCCTTCAGCAGCGTGCGCGTCGAGGTGGTGCCCCTGGCAACAACCGACCCGCAGAGGTGCGGGATGGCAGCGGGGGGCGGCATCCAGGGAATCCCTACGCCCTTGGCTTCGCACGCCGCTCTCCTTCATCGAGTTACCCCGCCGGGCACACGTTGCTCTTGGGACGGCCTTCTTTGCAAAACCCCCACCTTGCCCCCTGTCATTGTCTGCTCCTCCTCTCCTGCCGCCCCCACCCTTTTCCTCCTCAGTGCCACCTACTCGGAGATGGTGCGGCGGCAGCAGGCGGCCGCACGTGGCGCAGCGCCGCGCGGCCCGGACCAGCAGCCGCAGCAGCAGCGGGCGCGGCGTGAGCAGGGGCAGGACGAGGCCGCGGCCTGGCAGGCGTACGCGCTGCCGGATGAGCTGCAGCCGGGGTCGGCGGGCCGCGCGGTGCCGACGCAGGTCGTCGGCTGCGGGTACGGAAAGAGTGCGCGGCTTCTGGCGGTCTGGATTAAGGAGCGGCGGGCGGCACGGGGGCCCGGTGCGGTGCCGGATGCGCTGCCCCAGGTGCCCTTCCTTTCCTCAGACTGCGAGGTGAGGGCGGGTGTAAAGAGGGGCATGGGGACCAGGCAGCTCCGAGCTATGGCGTGCTGACAGGTGGTGGCGTGCCGCTGCAGGGTCACGCACAGTGCCCGACAAACCTGTGCACAGCACTCAAGCGTGGTAAGACACGCATAGTCTCAAACACATGTGCATGCACTTGCGCACGCATGCACGCTCACATGCGGGTGGTCGTATATGCGTGCGTACGCAGGCGCACCCACGCAGCCCCCTCCACTACCCCCCCCCCCCCCACACACACAAACACACACACGCTGACGCACACACTCAAACACAAGCGGGACCCAAAAACACACACATATAAACACACACACACACACACACACACCATCCACACCTCAAGGTCACTGTCGAGCGCCTGTCGCCCTCTGACGAGATGCTGGTGCTGCCCAGCCGCGCCCTGGGGCAGCTGGTCTCACCCCAGGAGGCCGCGCTGGCGGCACACACCTTTGGCGCGACGCAGCTCGCGGCCCTCAGGGAGGCCTTCGTCCAGGAGGTGGGGGGCCATTAGGGGGTCGCCCACGCAGCTGCGCCCCGCAGGTGCCTCGTGCGGTGGTTGAGAGGCTGCCATGCAAACGGTCTGCCTTTGAGACTTCCACATGTCACGCTTGAGAGGGCTCCCCTCGGCACATGCACATGCTCTGCCACCCACGGCCGCCTCGCACGCCGCTCGCCAGGCTGGCCCTGACGGGGCGGCGCACGCGCCAGGCGCGGTGCCCAGCGACGCGCGCCTGCGGGAGGGCAACGTCGCGTCTGCTGTGGTGCACCGCGCTGTGGAGAAAGCAGTGGCAGCCCACAACCGCGCCTACAGACGGCAGCTCGATGCCGCAGTGCTCAAGGTGCGCTTTGTCATGGTTGTTGATTACACGGCAGCAGGCAGTGGTGGCTTGCCCTAAGCTTCACACGCAACAGCCGTGACGCAGAGGCGCCGGCCGGCCTGTGAATGTCGCGCTGCTCTTACCCTTTCCACTCTCCCAACCGCGTCCCACCCACCCGCCACCTGCCCTCCTTCAGGCGCTGCCCCTGGCGATTGACCTGCCCTCCCTGGCGCCTGCCGGGGGCGCTGCGGGGGCGACGCCGGTGCTGCCGGCGTGGTGCTCCTCTGGCGGCCTGTCCAAGGGGGACGTGCTGGGGGGAGACCTGGGGTTGCTGCTGGTCTGCCTGGACTGGCCGGGGTGAGGGGGGGGGTGGGATGAATGGGGGGTGGAGGGAGCAGAGGCTTGAAGGCTGTGAGGACAGATCGGTGAGGGAGAGGCTCACAAAGCAAGGGGAACGAAGGGCGGGCAACTTGGGAGACGCATTCTCATGTGGGCTGGAGTGCAGCCATGGAGAGTGGTGCTATCCAGGGCGATGGGGCTGAGGGGTGGTGGGTGAGCGCGGCTAGGAGCGGCGGCTGTGAGGTAGCTGCAGCCTGTTGCTGACAGGCCATCACCACAGCGCTGCATCGCCCACCCAGTGAGCTAACCCCCTGCCGCTCCCTGACCAAACACCCGCCCAGGGCGCGCGAGGGCGTCCCACGGTCACCCGCTGTAAAGC